GACAAGGGGCAGGCTTGCTTTCTAATTACTGAGAGAGTTCAGCTGGTGTCTTGTCTTGTCTTTCCATGCCTTTTTACACCTCCTTTTCTTCATGTGTTCAATACTTTTTCCCTGTGCCATTCCACATTATTACAAATAACTTCATTTCTGGACATTTATGGTTTGATTTCTTTGTATGTATGGATCACTTGGGTTGTTACCAACATCTGGTGAAAATTTCATGTCATTTGCACCTCTAGTAATATATTTACTGAGAAAAATGTTGACGTGTTCAATACTTATTTTACCCGCTGTAGCTCAGAAAAGTCAATTTTGCATGAACCCCCCACACCCTCTTTAAAGAAACCACCTTTTGTTCATCTATTTGGTGGTATTAAACAGTGGAAATAATGCAAGTGATACCTACGTTTTTACAATCTCTGGGTAAAGAAGGCTGTTTTAACACAGATGAGAATCCTTTTTTAGCATCAAACATTTCTAGACAGTGTTAAAAAACAGTAGGTGGCAGTTTCCTTTGAAGCTATGTTGGTGCATCACAGTTTTGTCCCTGTGTTATTAATTTTATTATTAAATGCTTGAAGAGTTGTGGTTGGTTTACAAGTGAATTAAAAAGTCCTCTGCACTGAAACAAGCTGGCACCAATGGATGACTGTTAAACAGCTGTTTCCAATCAGCTGTTTCCTAGAACTACAATTTCATTTTGTGAATAATTCTCAGTGCATTGACTTCAAAATCCTTTTTTAAAATTTTTTTTAATTTTTTTGCCTGTTTTTCTTCAGTGTGTCCATGGATGTGGGATAACTTGACCTGCTGGCAGGCAGCTAGTGTGGGTGAGGTTGTTGTGGTCAACTGTCCGGAGCTGTTTTATGACTTCATGATCCCTGAGGACGGTGAGTGTCGACAGCCCGAGCATCTCAAAATATAAAAAATTTGAATATCACAGTTTTTTTTTTTGTTTTGTTTTTTGCTGAGGCTTGTGTTTTGCTTTCAGAAATAGGGAAGGTCAGTCGAAACTGTACAGAGTACGGCTGGTCTGAGCCTTATCCTCACTACGTGGACATCTGCTTTCCCTACGACAACATTACGAAACATGTATGCTCCTGTTTATTCCCTTTAAACACTCACACATCTCATCTTGTTTGTTTTAAATGCTTATTTATTTCGGTGTCTCCATGTTTAGGACATGTATTATGCGTCTGTCAAAGCCCTGTATACAGTGGGGTACAGCACATCACTAGTGTCTCTAACCACAGCCATGGTTATTCTCTGCAGATTCAGGTGAGATTTTAGTTTTTATGAACTGGATAAAAATATGTTTCAGTTTCATTTGTTTTCTCCGTTTAACTTATTTAATATTTGTTCTAAAATCTGAATAATTAATAGATAAAATGTGAAAAAAATCTGTTTTACGTCCACATCTTCTTAAATAGTTATTTGATTGGTAATTAAAATAAGGAAAGTGATCAAAAGCTGTAGCTATTTTTAAATATTTAATGGGTTCATAAACTTCAATGGAAATAATTAAAAGTAAATAATAAAGTGTCTGTGATTTGTCTGTCCATCAAATACAAAAGGTCAAATAAAAACTCCTTTACATTCAAGAAACCTGGCGTAAAACACAATTTGACTCATTTTGTCACATAACCATCACATGTTCTGTTGAACTTGTGAAACAGGAAGTGATATCAAAGGGAAACTCTTTAAGAAAGAGAACTCTCTGGTCTTTGTTTATTTAAACAAAATTATTTGAACTCTGATTATTATTTTTCTTTCTCTAATGCAGGGTTGTCAAACTCATTTTTAACCGAGGGCCACATGAGCGTTATGGTGGCTCTCGAAGGGCCACTTGTAATTAACTTTGAAGTTTCATGTTTAACTTTGACTAAACAGAGTTTTAACACATCCTCTTTTAAACACTGATAAGAACAAAGTGTATGACTGACAAAATCTGTAATAAATACAGAGATATTATTAAAAGTAAAACAAAAAATGTTTCACTCACTGATGAGTTTCTAGTGAGTAGCTGCATTATGGCAGATTTAGTTTAGATGGCGACTTTAAAGCAGCTTATTTTCAGACATTAGTACTGTGCTATCCAACTAAATTGCTCAGGTACTTAAAGCCAACAACTCAGGGACAGGAATTTTTTTTTAAATTATTTTTATTTCAACTAATTTTATTAAATTAATTTTGTTGCATTTAACCACACATTTAAAGTTTACAATTGATATAAGAAACAAAGTGGGCCTTGTGTTTGATACTTGTGCTCTAATGATGCAAAATTAATCTAAACATCAAATTCTTTTCTAAAGCACTGCTCTGTTCACATGCAGACATTCCCCTTTTACATCACTTCCTGTTACTTCACATGCAAATATTTCAACAACTACTCTTCCCAGCAGTGTGATATCTTTTTTGTATATGTTATCAGTAATATCTTTCCAAAAGGGCATTCAAATTTCTCACAAAAAATTGATGTCACAGACACTTTAACCTTAAATAGAGTTACAGAGAGAACGGTAGTGAGTGTGGTATTTACTGCACCTTAAAGCTGCTAAAGTAAAAATATAAATCAGGGCTCTGTCCCTGTTGAAAAATGCATTTTTTTACCCCAGCTGGATTTAAAGATAAAAATGAAATTAAGCATGTTGAACAAACTAGTTTTGCCAAAACCATAAGCAGAAAACATCAGAACACAACGAAAATCCATAAGAACCAGAGGAGAAAGGTTTTAAAATCCATTTTACGACATTATCTCAAAATAAAAAGTTTTTTATCTCGTTATCTAAAGACAACAAAGCTTTTTTGTAGCAAAAGTAGTTTAATTAAATCATGTAACAAGCTTCTTTTGTGAGAAAATGGGTTCACTTTAATATTTTGACCTAGAATAGTTCATTTTGTTGTGATAATCGAAGATGATTTAATGATGAACTTTATTCTTTATCAGAGATCAGGACTTTCACAGACTCAAGCTGAAAGTGTTGTAACATCCGGCAAACTAGTTAATATCAAGCACAGTGATCAGTATTTTTAGGAACAATAAATTATTTAGTTAGCTATTTCAAATTTTAACATCTGTTAAAACTGAGTATCTAAACTCCCTTTTTGACCCTTTTGTCTCATAAAAAGACTAGCCTTTATTAATCTTAGATAAACTCTTTCTGACTATATTTAGATTAACAAATATATTTTTGAGAGGCCAATTAAATATACATTGGAGCTGAAATACAACACTGTCAACTTGATCTGAGGTAGAAATCTCAGGCTGATGGTTTAAACTGCTTGTATAAAAAGCTCAAACGTGTTTTATTCTCCTTTCTCTTTTACCGCTGCAGGAAGCTCCACTGCACCAGGAACTTCATTCACATGAATCTGTTTGTGTCCTTCATCCTGAGAGCCATCTCTGTCTTCATCAAGGACGGCGTGCTGTACGCTCAGGAAGACAGCGAACACTGCTTCATCCACACAGTCAGTAAATCCCAAGAATTATTAGATGCTCTCTGAGGGTTTTTAGGGAGCACTCTCTGTGCGGGTTTTATCACAGGGAAGGGGAAGAAATGGCAATGCTTGTTTGGTTTAGTCATGAGAAAAGGATTTTTAATTGGCGAGGTTAATTGTTTCAATGATTTTAATTTGAAGCAGATAATTGGTCGGTTGGGTTTTTACTGTTTGAAATTATTCTTACTCAGAGTTATTGCAGGTGAGAGCCGTTTGGCCAAGTTTGGCTGTGGATTCTAAAGTCGTTATAATGAGGTTTACTGGAGAGCAGATGCACATTTATAAAGGAAAACATGACTATGAATAAGATTTCTCTGAAGATGGCTTGAGGACAAAGAGCCAAACCTTTTTTTGTCGGTCAGTTTTTTCTGTTTGATTTTTACCATTGAAGGAACTTCAATCATTTGTCAATTTTCCACAATGAAATTAAAAAAAAAAACACGATTACAACTTCTTGATTAGAGAAGATGACGGCACTCTTAGCCTTTGACTCATAACAACACATTGCTATTGTTAGGCAGGCATGATAAATAAACCTAATTAGCTTTGCTAATGGTTCAGCAAGGCCAGCTGAAGCTTTCTGCAAGGTCCATTAACATATGAACGACTACTGTGTCCTTGTTTTTAAGTCCACTGCTTAACATCTGTTGCCACAGCGGTCACAGGTCATCATCATGGTGGTACTTTGAATCAGATCAATGCTGTAATGGACTGACCCCCGCTTTGATTTTTATCACAGTGTCAGTGGATTTCGGCTTCAGCTGACATTCATTTCGGTCGTTTTTGCCAGTGGGCTGAATATTGACTCATTTGAGACAAAAATATGTAAAGTTTGATGACTGAGATTCAGAGCTGTGAGCAAAATAACCCTTTCTACATCCTGGAAGACAAACAATTTTAATTTTCAGCTTCCAGTGGTGGGCAGCGCTAATCCAATTATTAGCTCGGCAACTTTAAAAACACCAATGCCATAGGAAAACTAGCAGAAGCTAATTTTAAAACTCAAGTTCAATTCAACACTTACTAATTGGCAACAATTCATGTACAATATATGCACAACACTGCCAACTAGCGGTGTATGAATCCTTGTGCAGCTTAATCCTACAACCGCTGATTGCTGGGGATGTGATTTCCTGAAATAGAACTTTGGCTCCTGGTGCAAAAATTAAAAAGTTGTTGAGGATTGCTAGTTCGGCTGCTTCTTTAAAAAGTTGGTGAGGATTGTTAGTTCGGCTGCTTCTTTGTCTTTTTCTTTTGTTTGTTGTAGATTTTTCATTAAAGAAGTGTCAATAAAGTAATTTTAAAACTGTTTAATTGAAGACTGAAGCGATGCATTCTGGGTACATGACGGATTTGATTTGTGACGGGAAACGAAAGCATGGAGTACAGGAAACTATCTGCAAACTTCAAAATAAGAGCTTGGATTTTAAAGTTTTCCACGTAGTTGCTCCAGTTGACTACTAGATGTCTGTCTTCATAAGAATATCATCTTTAAATCATTTCTAACCCCGTTGGCCAATTGCTTTGACCAATTACGTCAAGTATTGAGCTCCAGCATTTAAATGTTTTTTTTTAAAGGAGCTCCGATTGTAAAGTAAAATAAATCAATACATACAAATTTTTAGTATGGATTACAAACGTTAACTGTTTTTGCTGGGAAAGGGAATTCTAAACATTGACCTCCTGCTACGTAAGTAGACACAAAGCATTGTGGGAAATGAGAACTTTGACCAAAACAACAGTCAGCAAGGATGTATACCTTTCCAATAAGTGGGTTCATCTGGAAGGGGTGCTGTTGGACAGATCAGGTGTGTTGTGATTCATTGACAGTCATACCTTCCGCTGTTCAAGATACAGTAACTATGACTGGTAGATAATTAGTTATTAGTGGTACTGCGTTTTAATTTTAGAAAGCGCAAATCCGCTTATGAATTATAAAAAATTAGGAAGACCGCTAAATATTTAGGTCCGCAATTAGCGGATTTGCGCTTTAGTGGACTGGTGCCCACCACTGTCAGCTTCATAGAAAGAGTTATCATAAAATTTGAAGTCCCCAATTTAGAGTCATTTTTCCTTTTTCTTTTTTTCTGTTACGAGAATGAAATTTGACATTGATGACATGAGTTACTAGTTATTCTGTTTGCTCAGATTTTTAAACGTACTTTACATCTAAATGTTTTTATTGAGATGACTGTATTATTTTTGATACTTGTTTTATTTTTATTTAACCTTTATTTCACCAGGCAAAACATTAAGAACAGTATCTTATTTACAATGTTGGCCTGAAATCAAATGTGTAATTATAAATTTTCCATGTACTGGGATAAAGCTGTGATTAAATAGTGAGCTTTGTTTTGAGGGACTTGTGATATGGGTTGTCTCAGCACAGGCTGTACTTTATAAGGGACAGATTAATACACACCTTCACAAAACAAAAAACAAACATAGTTTATCTCATCAAATGGCCAAACCAATGTATCAGGGCCAACCATTGAATAAGCTTTTTTTTTTTCCCTATCAAAGCTATTTTTAAAACTTTAATAGCCTACATGGTAGTGGTGCAACAATACTGAAAATTCATGATTCAATTTGGTTTGATACTCTAGTCTCACAGTTTGATATTTTTTGATACAAAAAAGAGAAATGTCCATGCCCTTTTTAACTTGTAATTTATTGAAATTAATTATGAACATTTGTTTAACCTCAAAAATACAGTTTTTAATTAAATGTTGCTGAAACAGCAAGTTTCTCAGTGAATTTGTGCTCAAAATCATGGCCTAGGTCGAGTAGTCGAACACAGATCCACTGATCCTTCAACACAGAGCATCTTCAGAAGACGAGTTGATAAAATAAATTTTAAAAAATCTGTATTGTTTGATACAAGTGTGTATTGAACCTAAAGAACTGTATTGAATGGTTCGATACGGGTGCATGTATTGTTGCACCCCTAATACATCTAATATATTGCTATGGGTTCATAAACGTCAATGGAAATAATAAAAAGTAAATAACCTTAAAATGTCTGTAGCATGTCTATTCTTCAAATACAAATGCAAAGAAAACATTGAAGATATTTGCTTTAATTTATCACAAAAACTCCAAGACTTCATTCAGGTCTGTTTTTGGTCCAGAAGATTGTGTATCACTTTATATTCTACAATTAAATGTTCAAGTCTAAATCTGACTTTGTCTCCTGTTGCGTTGCCTGTCAAGTAAAAAACACAAATCTAACACTCCTATAATGACCAAAAATCCTGCAGATTTGACCCACCTTTTTGCTGTGTTCCATTTATCCCAGAACTGATTTCATACCTGAAATGAATGTTTGTCAAATGCATATTGGAAAACAAGAAGAGCAGGCTGTTTTTAGCAATGCAAATCATTAACAGCATACATTTCATTAAAACATTGTGGAGATATGTTCACAAATAAAAGTAATAAAGCATTTATAATTGATTTCATAAAATACAAACTAATTGAAGTAAAGCATCCTTCGTTGCAGCCATCACCTTTTTTACTCAGTGCAGCCATATTGGAATTTCAATTTAATGAAAGGAACTTCTGACTTCCCAAGTTGAGATATTATTGACTTAAAGGGGGGTCTTTTTTTAAACTTGGATGTATGTTGACCTCAAAGAACTTGATGTTTCAGTAATGCTCTAACCAATAACCATTTAAACTGGAGTCAGGCACCAAATGATCTGATCTGACATTTGTGGTTTTATGTATTTTTTAATGTATCATTCATTGTTTCTGTCCTTTTGGATAGTGTTTGCCCCTGCTTTCAGGACAAATTTCTCTTGTCTTATCTTATCTTATCAAACTCTGCTTGTTTTTGTAAAAAGCTACACCTTACATTTGTGTGGATTTCAGCCACAAAAGTTGGAGCAAATTAGTATTTTAGCCACAATTTCTTAATCAGTTTAATGTTGGAGTGGTTTACACTCTAAAAAACAGATGTAGCGGAGTTAATCTAAAAAAATCACGTCATGTTTACTTAACTTTTTAAGTAAATGTAAAGTAAATGTGTTACCTTTATTCAGTTAAGTTGAACCATTTGACATTTTTTATTAAATGCATGTCTGTTTTTTTGAGTGATTACCTAAACTTACATCCGTTTTTCCTAATATTTTTAGATTCTCGTTTAAAGGATCTAAAAACACACAACGTAAATTTTTCAATATATTCTCTTTAAGAGGGACACAAAACTCAGGGGAAGACGCAATCAGAGTGTTTCACATTGATCAAATAGAAAAGGATTCTCTGACAGAAATCTGACAGATCTGAAATCACAACTAAACTGTGTTTCTTCCATGTGTTTTCCTCGTGCAGGTGGCGTGTAAAGCGGTGATGATTTTCTTCCATTACTGCGTCATGTCTAACTATTTCTGGCTCTTCATCGAAGGCTTGTATCTCTTCACTCTGCTGGTGGAGACCTTTTTTCCCGAGAGGCGATATTTCTACTGGTACACCATTGTGGGCTGGGGTGAGTAAAGCTCTGTGCTTGGAAATCAGTGTAGTTTGTATTTTATTTTTATTTTTGGCTCATTTTTACAAATCAACTATAAGTTCATAAAACTGCAATATGTTTTCTTAAAGAAAACACAACATGCACTCCTATAATTCAGCAAAAACATAAGAAGTGAAACTACAATATATTGTTTTTGTGTTGTTTTATCCCTATAGGAACATATTCTAAAGAAAAAAATCTATTTTTATTGTCACCATCGGTATAATTTAATCATAAACTGATTGTGTTTTAATAACAGGAACTCCCACCATCTGTGTGACGGTCTGGGCAGTTCTGAGGCTCCATTTTCATGACACTGGGTACGTTCCAACTCTTCATCCCAGCCTCACATTACACAAGAAGAGTTTATTCTTGCTCTCAAAAATTAATTCGGAAACAAGTGTTGTGCTTTTTTAAATATATACAAATTCAAACTTTTTGGTCCTATAGTTTAAACTCAGATTACCAACACAGATTATAAATCTTTACATATTTATTGTTCAACACTGTAAAATGTTCATGACATTGTTTTAATTGAAGTATTTAAAGAATAAAAGTTGCAACATTTTGACAGCAATTCATTCTGTATCCAGCTTTATTCTGTTTTACAGATAATGTTGAAAAAACCACAAAATATTAATCTAAAATTATTCAGGTGTTTCTTTACAATTAGCCTCTTGTGTGTGTTGCAAAAAAAGAAGAAGAAAAAGAAAAAACTCATTTTTGGTTTATTTAAATGTAAATTTAGGTTGAGCAAATATAAGATAAGCTGTGTTGAAGGAATACTAAACCATACTGCACATCCCCCCTCCTCTAGATGCTGGGATACAAATGAGCACACTGCCCTCTGGTGGGTGATTAAAGGACCTGTCGTCGCTTCAATAATGGTATGTTTATTCCTTTGCTGGGCAGATTTTTTAATTTAGTAAACTAAGAAAATGACAAATAAATGCAAGCTAAGATAATTAGTTTAATGCCTGCAGTTTAAAACATTTAACAAACACAAACATCAGTAACCACTTCTTGTTGGCTGCTTTTATAACATGTAACTCATATTATGTGTAATCTAATCAACTATTAATTATCATATCTAGCAACTATATTAGACCAATAATTTCTATATCTGTGTTTGTTATCAGATTAATTTTGTCCTCTTCATTGGAATTATCATCATCCTGGTGCAAAAGCTGCAGTCCCCTGACATCGGAGGAAATGAGTCGAGCATTTATCTGTAAGTTGATTAAAAGTCAGCTGGAAGTTGTGTTCAGAATGGTTAAAACTGTGAAGATTTTAAAGTGTTACTATTGATCTGTTTCACAGCAAACATTTTGACTCGGGGGAAAAAGTAGAAAAACGGGCAGTAAATGTTCCATTTCTGCAACTGCTCTGGTTCAGTAAAACTGTTAACGAGCTCATCTTCCTCCAAATCAGGGCTATTCAACTGGCGGCCCACGGGTTACATCTGGCCCGCGAGTGCCCAGAGTTCGGCCCGCCAATTGGTTCATTCTTCTCTTAAGCCCAAACCCCTGGTTTTCTACTTTAATTACTCTAATTTCTTTTAGTTAAACATGTTTGGTATCTACAGGAACATCAGAATCTTGGCTACAAGCTGGTAAAAACCATTTCTATGAACATTCAAGACAGTTAAAATTACAAGCAGTTGAATATAAAACTATGAAAGTAAAAATAAAATTGGTTTAAAAATTTGGCAAGTCAGAGATGTCAAAATATTGTTTGTGTTAAATAGGAGGCATAATGTGTTATTTTAGTTTTTGATATTGTTTCATTATCACTACTTTTATAGGGTTCTGTATGTTGTATTCTAGGTTAAATGCAGCAAAATAAACTATTTCAATGGTAACAGATCTTTGTAATACTTGGTTTATTTACATAATGATGTAATTGCTGGATGTTCGGCCCCTGAGCTGTTGGCCTGCAGAAACTGTGGCCCCCCGGAGCAGTTTAGATGAATAGCCCTGCTCTAAATGGAATGCAGCCCTGTGCTTTCTCAGCTCTGTCAAGTTAAAATGTCTGCTGCGACCAATGCCTATTGATAAGGTTGTCTCTTTGCAGCACCCTGCAGCTTAAAAAAAGTGTTTATATTTTAGAACTGGAAAAAAAAGTTTGTAAAAAGTCAAAAGATGAGACCAAAATAATTATTAGTCCCACTGTTTTGCCTCCATCAGCTATTTTATTTAAAGTTACTTTCTGTAAATACTTAAAATTGCACTAAAGCATATTACGTTCTTTAAGAGCTGTCTTATTTGAAATAAGCACTTGTCATTTCAACAAATGCTTGGAGAATTATGAACCTTTTTTTAAAACAAAGCTCCATTTTTAGAACTAATCCCCCAGACTGCAGCCCTGTCTGCTGTAGTGTTACAGCTTCATGTAGAACCTGTTGACAGGACGGCAGAGCGCTGAGGTGCTTCAGACATCTCTCCCAGTCTGCTCCCACAGGATGGTGTCCTTTGAAGCCTTGCAGATAATGCCATTCTCATCTGCTGCTTGGGTCTAGGTGTGCGTGACAGAGTGTGAAGGTGTGTGTGTGTGCGCGTGTGAGAGACCGCGCGTCTGCGTCCCTAAAGACATTGTCTTTGTTGTATTGTGTGTTGTCTTTGTGCCGTGTAGCAGCTGTGCTCAGAAATGCTTCAGTGAGCCCACACAGGCTGTTCAGCATTCGTGCAGGATGTCAGAGTTATCCACCATCACACTGTAAGTGTGTGTGTGTACGTGTTCATGTGTGTGTGTGTATGTGTGTGTGTGTGTGTGCAGCTGTCTCATGTGGATTGCGTGTGTGTGTTTTGTTTTATTTTACACCACTGGTTCCTGAGGGTTTTCTTTTCAATGATGGGAATTCTTCAAATGCAGACTGAACCAAACAGACGAACAGTAAAACATAAAAATCTCAGACTTTTTTTGTGCAGCTGGTTTATTTTACTGCACGTAGTAAATTAAAGCTATGACTTTCTTGTTCAGATTTGGACAAGAGTGCCAACCGCACCGTGATAGGATTATTTCACATATCTCTCTCTGAAAACAGAGGTGGACAGAATTTGTTTCTGCAGACAGAGAAGTTGAATAAAATTTTAAAAAATAGTTTAACATAATTAATTAGGTTGTATGAGGTTTGGAAATAGAGGAAATAAGTTGGTTTGCAGTTTGCAATTTGTACCACAAGAGGTCACTACATCCCCTCACATTCATTTTTTTACGTTTACTGCTTTTAGCACACATTTGCATTTACTGATTCATGTCAATTCATTTAAAATACTAAATATGGAAGTTTGTGTCAATATAGCTTGTAGAATTTTATTTTTCCTGGTAAATGTGATTTATTTTTCAAATGTGTCAATAAACAAATTGAATGTTGCAATTGTTCTTGATAAAAATGGGTAAAATCCCACAAAACTGGCACTGAAATCTTTGATTTGTGATAATCTCTATCAGTTAGGCAGTTATTTATAGATTCACTCCTCTGACTCTCAACAAGAAAGAGTATCAGCTACTAATGACCCCTTAAAGACCCCTGGGACCAATGGACTGCACTGTGAACATCCATGTTTTGCACAGTTGTAAAGTGTTCAGCGTGATTGTTGTGATTTTTATTATTATTATTATTATTATTTCCATTTGTCATGCTTTTTGTGTATTGGCTGGCTGCATGATTCATACTAGAAAGATTAAAAAACAAGTTTTTAAAGTGTGTCTACAATGAAATATTAAACAAGAAAACAGTAGGTTTTTGTTATTCCTTTTGTAAATTGTGTGTGAAACTTGCATTAGTTCAAACATGACAATAAAATGATAAATAAAAGATGAACGTTAGGACTGGTGTTGCTCTGACATTTTTTTTATTGTCAACAAATCAGGAAGATCTGAACCTGTTCGTTCATGTGAAAATAGTTTTAATAACTTTTTCATTTAGTGTTATTTGAGTAAATAGTAAAATTGTTTTTATTTGAATTAAAGAGGAGTTCAAAAGCAAAACACAGTTTGTGTTAATTGGTTTGTTGTGTGTGTTTAAATGTTATTTTAGCGGTGTTTTCTTATGATTTGTTGACAGTGAGAAAAATATGGAATAATATCATTTTCCTTTAATCTGGATCAACATTATTGTGAAACAATCAGGTTTTTGAGTTGTAAATCTGAGGATTGAGAATTTCAAACAGATGCATTCTTTAATGTCAGCGTGTGGCTTCAGTTTGTGGCATTTCACAGTCCGTCGTTGCTTCAACAGTGTAACTCTTGCATCACCTGAAGTCCACCAACAGTGTTGACTTCTCGTTCTTTTAGACTTGTGTTCGGCCCACAAACAGGATCAAAATAAAAATCTTAGCTCGGTTTGTGTGTGTGTGTGTGTATGTGTGTGTCTGTGTGTGTGTGTGTGTGTGTTCAGGCGTCTGGCACGTTCCACCCTCCTCCTCATCCCCCTGTTTGGGATTCACTACACTGTTTTTGCCTTCTCGCCCGAGGATGTCAGCAAGAGGGAGAGGCTGGTCTTTGAACTGGGGCTTGGATCCTTCCAGGTTTGTTTGAAGATAAAGATGTTAACATGAATTATTACCTCCTCAGTCTGATCTGTGCTGTACGTGCTTCTCCTCAGGGCTTTGTGGTAGCTGTCCTCTACTGTTTCCTCAATGGGGAGGTAAGTTTCATTATTCTTTTTTATCCATTTCTCTGTGCTACATCTGTTTTTTGGACAAACATCTGTAAACAAATAGAAGAACAACAAGATGAAGTGAATAACATAATAATGTTATGAAATCTTAAGAACTAATGTGTGACTATTTAAACAGCAGCTAAACATATAAAAATGAGTCATTTGGAAACATAATAAAACAGAGTGGATGTGGGTTTGCAGCTTACTTTCTAAATTCAAATTTTCTATCAAATAGTAACAAGTTAAAATAAAATGTAAAAAGAAGAACACAAAATAAACATTTTCTTACATGTTAGGCCTACTATTTTTTCCCAAATGCTAACTTTTATAAATATTATATACTAAATC